AGAGGGTTTCACATAGTTTGGCATAATATATGCAGCTCCGATCTTAATTTAAGGTCTTAGCATTTCAATACATGATTCATAGCCCTTGCACGTTTTCAAATTATCAAGAATATTACGTTGATCAATTTGAGACACAGTTTCCACGCATATAAGGTTGCAACACCAAGTCAAGTGAAGTAGCAATCAATACAACAATTCAATTTAATCTTACCGTACTCACACAACCAACGATGAAGCTCAATTTCTAAAAGATGGGGTTTTATCCATACATACCTCAATAAAGCTTTCCTTATTCCTTACAAAATTCTGAAACTTTTAGCACTTCGATCTATTGTGTAAGAATTACAAGTTAAACTGAGAATTAGAGACGAGTTGAGATTCTAGCTTGTTTTGAGCATACTATCAAATACTAAAGGTGCATTGTGATCTAAGGCCTTTTGAGAGAAATTTCTATCATTTTACACACCAATTGCTTTTTTTTTTGTAGTTCACTACCTCCCAATATTCTATGGTGTGATATGCATACAAGAAATTCATTCTTATACCCATGAATTACTTCACTAGTGATCCCTTATTGCTAAGCATAGGAATAAGAGCTAAGGTAATGAAGTCTTACCTCTTGGGATGAAGATTTAGGTGCCCTCACTTGATTATCTTCAAAGCTTTGGAAAGGTTTCATGGAGTAATTTGATGGGAAGCACTTCCCTCTCTAGGACCCTCTCTCTCTCTCTCTAAAAGCATCAGGAAATATGCTCAAAATGAGCTATAACACCGAATATATCGATAAGGGGTCGGGTTTAAAACTTAGAAAATTGGAGCCCCGAGTCAAGTCTGCGATCGCAAAGTGGAAATGCGGCCCGTAGAATGGACCGCAAAAGTGCTCCCAAAATCTGAACATTCTGTTTGGGTATGCAGCAGAAATGCGGTCCGCATACCCGTTCTCCGGTCGCATAATGCACCGCTGAACTGCTCTTTACAAAAATCCCAAGGAAATTATGCGACGACTATGCGGTTCGCATATCGGTTATGCGATCGAATAATGGACAACATATTTAACCTCAAATTTGACCAACACACTGATTCGCTTTGCGGCGATTATGTGGTCCGCATACCTGATATGCGACCGCATTCTCTACCGCATAATCGCATTTTCTGGAAAATATTATTTCTTGGCACCACGGAATTCAGGGTTTTGAGTAGGAAATTCACGGGGCCTTACAGAAACTCAAGGCCACATGACCTCTGGGTCGGAAACTCCGAAATCGTAATCAATGAGGCAATACCAAGTTTACAAGTAATGGCTCTCGATCCAAGAAACTTTCGATGGCTAGAGGACTGCTGCCAATCACCACCTCCATTGACTTATCAAAACCCGAGGCCATAAGAACACATGCGGGCTGCCTCGGTCTCGTAAGACCTATATAAGGCGACAACAATATTTGTAAGAACTCAAGAAAGGCATGAACCACACTTATACCAAGTGACAATATCTGTAAGACGTCAAGCAAGGCATGAACCATACTTGTACCAAGTAACAATATCTGTAAGGCCTCAAGTAAGACATGTAAAAATTTGTAAGACCTTAAAAAAGGCATAAACCCGATCTTAAAGTTAAGACTATATATCGAAGTTGTTAGACCCTAAAAAGACATACCCTTGATATAGACGCCGAAACTACTTTACTCGGGAACTGGAAAGGCCCTTTCCAAACATAATGACTATGGTCACAAGGCTGTACCAGCATAACTAACATGACTCGGGGACGCCCGACCATTGCTATAAAATCACACGCCTTCAATTACTTTGAAAATATTTCGAAAAGAACCGATTAAACAGGCTACCCTCGACATAGGAAAAAGAGCTTTGACCATGTCAACTCCAAACTATAGGCTTCGAGATACTCAGCCAGCGAGCCAAACCTCCTGAGGTGCTCGATTATCGCCATATAACGACTCACAATCAAGGTTTTTATCAAACCGTCGAAGAGTTAGGCAAACACAACTTCAAAAGTCCTTAACGAGGGAAAAATAAAGCCTATATTACAGGTCATACCAACCCAATGCATAAGAGCCCCTGCCGTAAGCCCATATAAAAGGTCGTACCGATCCAAAGCGTAAGAGCCACTACCACCAGCCTATACTAGAGGTTATACCGACCCAATACCTGATGCTCAACATTGAATACACAAGAACATTCTCTCTGCTCTCTAACATATTCTCTTGATCTCATTACTTGCATTTATTGCTTATATTCATTGTGTTCTATTTATTGTTCTTCATTTATTGCTCCTTATTGATCATAAAAGGCTTCCATCAAAGCTATCATAACTGTTAATCCCCCCTCGATTGCTCCTAGCCGAGCATCCAACTCGACCTCGAGGCCCGTATACGCCAACTCGAGGCCCCGATTTTCAGCCTTCTGGTTTGGCCATTATAATATCTACAAGCTCTTATCTCGTTTCCTAATCTCTTACTTAGCATTTATTTCCTAATCAACTAGCATAAAAATAGATCACGTATTTTTAGAACCACATAATCAAATTTAATTGTAATTACCATTTTCAAGGTAAACACCTACTAAATTCTTTGAAACATCTCGAGGCATTCGTCAAGAAGACCCGCTATCCCCAAACATCTTCATCATTTGTATGCAATCCCTATCCCACCAAATTGATCAAGCCACAATAAATAGTGACGGGATACCAGTTGAGATTAGTAGGTCGGGGCCACCGGTCTCCTACCGGGTTTTTTCGGACGACCTAATACTATTCGCTCGTGCTGAGTTATAAAATGCCAACACTATTATTGATGTATTCAACTCCCTCCACCACCAATCAGGGCAAAAAATTAATTTCTCTAAATCAAATCTTTTTTTCTCCAAAAACGTACCACTCAACACTCAAGAGTTCCTTACCAGTGCCTTAAACATCCACAAAGCTACCAACTTTAGTAAATACCTGGGTTTCCATCTAACTAACAACTCCGCCAAAGGTAAACACTATCAATTCATAATTGACAGAATGAATAGCAAGTTTTTAGGATGGAAAGTAAAAACTCTCAGCATGGCAGCAGATAGAACCATCCTCATCCACTTAGTACTAGAAACCATACCAAACTATTCAATGTAAAATAACCTATTGCCAACCTCTACTAGGAACCACATAGACCGTATACAGTGAAACTTCCTATGGTGTTCAACTCCAGCTCAAAAAAAGTCTACCTTATTAACTAGGAGACTATAATCACTCCAAAAGTGCTCGGAGGACTAGGGATTTATAAAACCAGTGAAAAGAATTTTGCAATACTAGTAGGACTACTATGTCGATTCCACAAGAACAATTAATCACTATGGGTAAAAATTCGACAAGCAAAATATGTCCAACATAGATGAGTAGACACACTCGAGGAAAGACATGCTGATTCATACATTTGGAAAAGCATGACCAAAGCAAATCCTCTATTCCGCTCATGGCTTTTCAGGAACATAGGAAATAGGAAAAAAATAAATCGCTAACATGCCAACTAGATCCCTAATAATACCTGTTTATGACATTCAAGATAGGGGACTCTACAATATATGAAGGAATAACAAACAATGTCTTTAATCCTTACAAATTATTCATGGTACTTTGACATATTATCTCTAACACTACACCCTGATACTGTACACAAAATCAACAATATCTACTTCTATTTCTCACAAAAAAATGGTCAATCCTTCTGGAACCAAACACCCCTTGACAACTTTACCATAAAGTCAGCCTACCTACTACAACTAGAAATCAACAACCTAATAAAACCACCAAACACTGTCACAACCTCATGGATCTAGCAATTAAAGTGTTTGAACAATTTAAAATATTTTATGTGGTTATTTGTGCACCACAAGTTACCTCCTAAAGACTTCATGTTCAAAAAAAAAAATATACTACAAACTAACCTTTTCCAATCCTGTCCAACCGAAGTAGAAGACATATTCCGCATCGTATTCTCATGCAAAAATTCATATCACTTATGGACTTTGTTCAATCTTCAAAAACCACAAGTTCCTCAACTTTGTCCATTGGATAAAGGATACGTGTCTCAAAGACACTACCATGAACACAGCAAATGCCTCAATTGAAACTCCAAACGCCACTTTAATACCTTTCATCATGTGGAACACTTGGCTTAATAGGAATTCCAACCTCTTTAACCACACAACTTCAATTGCTTTCCACACCAAAATTAAGACCCAAGTTGCTGAGTTCAGTTCAATACCATAGCTTACTGCAAACCCAAATCTTAAGCTTTACATACCAATAAGATGGTACCCACTTACTAACTATTAGAAGCTAAACATTGATCTATGATAAAAACAATCAAACTAGTGGCATTGGTGAAATTAGCAGAGACCATAATGGCAATTGGATAATGGGATTCGCGCATAAGGCAGTTGCAACATCCTCTCTCCATTCTGAACTACTACCAGTTATGGCTGGACTAGAACTCTCCTTCACAAAAAGTCTCTTTCCCACTATAGTGAAAATAAATTCACAGGTATTATGTAACTTATTTAATGACGAACAATATCGCTACTCACATCTTCTTCATGACAACATTTTTCTTCTTGATGCTATTGGAGTGGCAGAAATAATACATGTATACCGGGAAAGCAACACTGTAGCAGATGCTTTGGTAAAGTATGGAAGCACGAGACAACATATATCAATGGAGGAAGACAACACTATGTACTGGAAAGTACCTCTGACTTTTATTTTACCAGTTTTTATTAAAGATAAATCAGGGAAAACCATAATACGGTCTATCCCTACGTTATGTAATAACTAAATTTCCTATGTTTTTAATATAATAGTTTCCCCTTTCTTTTAGCAAAAAAAAGCAAGTCTATAGGACCCCCATAAATCCATATGTACCAAATCGAAGATCTCTTCCACTTTACTAGTACTAAGTGTAAAAGAAATTTGAGTTTGTCTTACTAGAGGATAAACATCACAGTCATACAAAGAAAAAACCACTCTTATTAGAAAAAATAGAAAGTTTTCTCAATATCGCCATAGGAATATCTGCTAATTTTTTATGCCAATTTTTTGCTCGATCATCCTTTCCACATCCATTGATCTACGATGCTTAACTGCTCCCCTTATGCTCTTTGATTCCAAAACATATAGACCTTCCTTTTCTTTACCAGTCAGCTTCACTTTCCCAGTGCAAAGGTCTTGAAAAATAAAGAAGTCGAAAAAAAAATAGCATAACAATTCATAGATTTTGTCATTTTAGATACAGACAAAAGGTTGAATCTGAAGCTGACACACATAACACATCATTGATCACATTACCTCCTATTAATATACAGTCTCCAACATCTGTCACATGCGTAGAATCCCCTATTGGCAACTGAACACTCACTGTGGTTCCTACTTTAACATCATTAATCAAGAAATTGAGATTACTTATCATATCATTAGTAGTCCTAATATCCACTATCCAACTAAGATTATCATCCTTAATGCATGTAGTATTACCTACCATATATGCCTGGGCTCGGAAGTGGAGACTTTATTCATCATAAAGACAAACATATTGAACTATTTCTGGGTAAGGACTGGTACAACAGAAGAATTTCCTTTTGTCTGTTGATTATTTTCTTGTACCGCATTTGCCTTCCTCTTGGATTTGAATGTTGTCAGGTAACTTATTATTTTTTAGCAATTCTTTTTCAGATGCCCAGTCAACTTACAAAAGTTACATTTCATCAGCTTGTAACATTCGCCCTCCTCTTATATGACAATAATCACACTATGCATTATAATTTCTCTTAGGTTTGAACTTGGATCCCGCTTTAGCAATAAACAGGTTAGTGAGATCTACACAATTGTTCTGAAACTGACCTTCGGCCACCATTTTCTATTTTCTAACTTTCGTCTTGAAGAATCATATCATATACTTGATCACATTAGATAGATGTGTTTTTAAGAGAATTTGACTGTGAGCCTGACTTTAACCTTCATTTAAGCTCATGAGAAATTGATACAACCGTTCATAACGAAGATGCACAAGGAATTCCTTTGACCTTTTACAATCATATGGAAGAGGCATTAGAGCATCATACTAATCCCAGAGAACTTTTCAGATGTGAAAATACGCAGAAACATGGGAAATACCTTGTGTTAGGGTGAATATGTCCCTGTGTAGGCGATACATGCGAGATCTATACACCTTATTGAAATGTTCTTTCAATCTGACAAATTGCATGTGCACTCGAAGAAAAAAGGACACCAAAATATAACTGCTTACTGATATTGCATATTATCCATAAATGTCAGGAGCCAAACCGATGGGCCGCGACGGATGTCCGAGTCCTATCTGTCGAATGCCCTTAAGTATTAGGTATAAACATGATTAGTTTATGTGAGGAAAACCTGTCCAAAAGACATATATATATAAACATGTGGGGCGAACCGTCAATGCTACTTTAGACTACTATATATCAAAAACTGAAAGCCGGCAAGGCCACATACTATCCAACTATACATACTGTCTACAGATCTCTAATAGAATATATAATTGTACAAGGATGGGATTGGGCCACGTCATACCCATACATGTATACAAGCATATCATACATAAATCAAAAGCAACTCTAGATCAAATGGAGCACGTCAACTCTCGCTGATCAAGGATTCTAAGAAGCAAGACCGTCAACTTGTGTATATACATATAAATACGTGTATATAACACCATCTGGTCATGGGTTGATGCACATGTATAAATGCATGAAATTCATGAAAATATGTTAATATCTCAATATTCTTTTCGGATAAACTTTATCAACTGCGTATTATTCTGAGACCCATGAACAGAAGCTATAATAATATGTCACATGGGGTATCAAGAGCATAGGGATCCCAAGTATTTCTATGAATAGAGTCGTTTATAAAAGCTGTGCGTTTGCTCGTTTCTTTTGTATCATTTGGATCATGCCAAAAAGAAAGAAGGGATAGCCTTAACATACCTGAGTCGATTCTCTTGAGAAAGATTACACTGTATTCCCTTAATATTGCAGAATCTCACAATAATTTAAATTGTTGAAGGCCTTGGGCATTGCTCATATGACTTTCGGTTGTAACATACAACCTTTACGTTGAATCCTCATCATATGCCTTTAGGAATGAGTTGTGATTCACGTTTCTTATCCATTCATATCTCTTAAGTTGGAGATATGTTTTATCCATAGTTTTATGGAAGTTAGAGATATGTTTTATCCATCCACCACATAATCCAAATGAATGGCTTAAGAGTCATACGGTTTGGGTGCTACCACGTAATTCCCTTATTTG